ACGCACGCATTGCATGCTCAAAAGAAAAATTGTCCAATAATATCCTATAGATCCTAAACACATTTTAGCAAAATTATTATAATCCTCCTATATACACACATATATATTCGTTTTGTGTGGTGTATTGTACACATCAACATCAACTCTGTCTGTCACTAGCTACTGTCAAATATCACATCAGTTGCTTGTAGAACAGGAGAAACACAGATCATTAAAATAAAGGACCTTTTTTTATTTCCTCTTTTTTTCTCTTGCTTTATCTTTCAACATTTGGAAACTCTAGGGTTTTGTTATTTTTAGAGCTTTCTTCTTGTGCCGACAATGGATGTTGATGTGTTTAACGGTTGGGGGAGGCCAAGGTATGAAGATGAATCCCTAATGCCACCTGGGTTTAGATTTCATCCAACTGATGAAGAGCTGATCACTTACTATCTCCTCAAGAAAGTTCTTGACTCCAATTTCTCTTGTGCCGCCATTTCTCAAGTTGATCTCAACAAGTCTGAGCCTTGGGAGCTTCCTGGTAAGCCCACTAAACTCGAGTCAACCTACCTTCTGTTTCACCTGATGCATTCAAAAACTTTATCACAAAACTTGATGATAAATCCTATCTCTATATTTTTTTCTTAAATCGTCATAAAGTCCAAAGTTTAAGACTTTCCCCTGTTTTTATTTGCCATAACCAAATTATAGGACTTTACTTCTGCTATATAATGTGCTAGATGTAACATGATATAGGCTTAGTGAAGACGTTGTTATAACTCTTCAAACTCTTGTTCAACTTTATGTTGACCCTGTACATGAGTGACCAGTCCTTGTTCGGTTCTGAAACAGAGTCTTTACTTTGAAGACATTGTTATAACTCGATGCTAAAGTTGTAACTTTCACTTATACCATTTGAGCAGAGAAAGCGAAAATGGGGGAGAAAGAATGGTACTTTTTCACACTAAGAGATCGAAAATACCCAACTGGACTAAGAACGAACAGAGCAACAGAAGCTGGTTACTGGAAAGCCACAGGTAAAGACAGAGAGATCAAAAGCTCAAAGACAAAATCACTTCTCGGGATGAAGAAAACTCTTGTCTTTTACAAAGGCAGAGCTCCTAAAGGAGAGAAGAGTTGTTGGGTCATGCATGAGTATCGCCTTGACGGCAAATTCTCTTACCATTACATTTCTTCTTCCGCTAAGGTAAACTTTATATCTCTCTATATCAATTCACTTTTCTCATACATATTATAATCAAAATGTTTTCTTTTACACTAGGATGAATGGGTTCTCTGTAAAGTTTGTCTGAAAAGCGGCGTAGTTAGCAGAGAGACAAACTTGATCTCTTCTTCTTCTTCTTCTTCTTCTGCCGTCGCCGGAGAGTACTCCTCTGCCGGATCTGTAATTGCTCCGATCATCAATACCTTTGCCACGGAGCACGTGTCCTGTTTCTCCAATAACTCTGCTGCTCATACCGATGCGAGCTTCCATACATACCTTCCCGCTCCACCACCGTCACTCCCGCCACGTCAGCCTCGTCACGTCGGCGATGACGTGGTGTTTGGTCAGTTTCTGGATTTGGGATCATCGGGACAGGTTAATTTCGATGCAGCAGCAGCGTTCTTTCCGAATCTACCTTCTCTGCCTCCAACGGTTCTTCCTCCTCCTCCGTCATTTGCAATGTTCGGTGGAGGCTCCGCCGTGAGTGTCTGGCCGTTTGCTCTCTGATCGTCATGCGGCCATAAACTATCTCTACTAGCTTTTAATATTTTAATCTACGAAAAAAAACTTGGATTGCTTAAAATTAATTAGTGGCTTTTGTATTAGTCTCGAATCATTTCCTCGTAGCATTTTGCTGATGTACGTGTTTGCAGTAACGTCTTTGTGCATGTTTTCAAACATGACATCTATGCGGATTTCCTAAAGTCATATTTTTGTGTGTGAAAGTATCCTAAAATGTTGAATATAGATTTTAGGAGTTGAACTAAAAACTTTGGGTTAGAGGAAATAAAATAAAAAAATTAATTTTTTAAAAAGATTATCTACATATATAACATATTGTTTTGTTTAATTTAAATATTCATATAAATAATATATATATATATATATATTAGTATAGTGTACACCTAGTATATTTTAGGTTTTAATTTTTAAAATATAAAAACGAAAACATATAGTTAATTTCATTAATCAACAACATATAGTGGATTTGAATATGAATTTATTTTGTTGTTTGCATTTTATTATAATATTTTGCATTTTAGGGATTGACCCGTGGTACACCGCGGTTCGTTTTTTTATAACTAAAAATTTTAATTTGTAAGTTGTATTTGTTTTGTTAATATTATTTGTTTTGTTCAATGTTTACGATTGTATAAATGTATTTTGATTGTTAGTTCTAAGATTTTATCCGTAGTATACCGTCCCGTATTAATAATCTAACCAAACGTTTTCCACCATATAACCTTGTTCCGTGAAATAAAACATTATTTTGTCATTTTAATAATATTTTTATTTAAAACCATATAATTCAAATCAATTTCTAAGTTTACTTAAAATAGTATATATATATATATATATATATATATATATATATATTTAGTTGTTATAGAGTTCAAATATTATTAATACTATAAATTATTTTATAGAATTTAAATATTATAAATTCTCCTCCAATCGATTCATGTCCCCCACTTTTTGGTGTGTAAGATACGATTATTATGGTTTTAGACATGTGGGCTTAGAGTTGCAGGTTGGGCTGGACTAAATTGTTTTAGGCCCAACTACATTTCACAACAATGTGACTTTGATATAACAGAGAACTGAGATGACACAAGAAGAGTTGAGTCGTGTCTCCTTCCTGCGGCTCCAAAGAGACAAAGAGATAGAAAGAGAGAGCTTGGTCAGAGAGTTCTTCTTTGGTTTATTCTTCTCTTCTCTTCTCTTGTTCTTCCTTTATTCTTCATGTATCTCGGGTTATGTTTATAACAGAGAGATAGAGAGAGATGTGAGCACAATTTCCTTGAAGAGTACACTTGTAATCTCATTGATAAAAAGTGGCTTGGTTGAGGGACCGTCTCCCCTCTCCTGAGATGTAGGCTTCTCACATCGAGAGCTGAACTCAGGGTGAACAAAAAAAGCTTGTGTGTTCTTTCTTTATGCTTATTGCTTGATGCAGAATTGTGAGTGCATGTTTGGTTTAATGTGAAATCGAGCATAGATTTAGTAACATGGTGTTCACTTGTATCTGTTTTAATTAGGTGAGTTAAATTTTTGTTTTTTGAATGATAGGCTGCTAGATACAGTGATACTGATGATCTCAGATCATTGGCCTCTTATGGTGTCTCTCTTGACTCTCTTGATTCACAAGGCCGAACAGGTTTCTTCTACATTCTCTTTTTGTTCTAAAGTTCCAATTTTTCCAATTAATAGATAAGATTCTTAAACTCTTGCTCAGACACCTGCAATGTATAGGAAAATTTGGAATAAATGATGCCTAAAAATTAAAGGGTTCATTTGGCTCATTTCATCTCGTGAAATATTGGTTACTGTTTTCTGGTTTAGTAACATATGTTGGTGTTCTTACTCTTATCCTTGTATATTCGGATACTCAGATTAAGGAGTTTGAAATGTATGGTTAACTCTGTGAACACTGTTTCTTTTTATCTTTTACTTGTCTTCACAAGCTGCATATGGTTGCGGCGTATAACTGTAGTGGAGTATCTTATCAGTGAAGGAGTGGTAAAAAACAACAACCCTTGCTAATTTTTATGCCTTGACGATGTAATTTCTGGTCTTCTATCGAGAGATTATTGTGGCTTTGTTATGGTCAGCAGGATATTAATGCTCTTAACGATGAGAACAATGCTCCTCTACATTGGGCATGTTTGAATGGCCATGTCGAGGTAACCATCACTCATTTCCTTGCTTGAAGATGTTTTGTTTCTTCGGTTTAAACTAAGTAGAAAGCTACTTACAGTTGGTGAAGAGATTGATCTTGGCTGGAGCCATCTAAGTCTTTTGAATCTTTATTCCCACTCTATTAGAGGAACTAAGCTGAACTATTAGAAGCTTGAAAATTGTAGGTGTGAGCGGACTCCAATGGATGAAGCTATTGGTGCGGAGAAGATGGAGATTATAGATGCTATTAACACAACTGTTGCACAAATGGAACTTGAAAATACCAGGGTGACACGACTTTTCCAGACATCTCCCTCTCGGCATCGTAAATGTGGTGAGCTTTTGTATTGTGAGATTGTTATATAGAAAAGGTGTGTTTGCTGGTTTTTTCAGATTCTTGCTTTTGTGTGTTTGATGATGTTTTGAGACGTCAAACTTTATAGTATTTATAGGCTCATAAATTAGGTCACAAATCTCTTGAACGCCAAGCATAATATATTTGATACCGTAACTAATATAGAATCAAATCTATGAAATCATTTTGTGTTTAAGAATATGCTACCGTTTTGATTTTGAAGAGTCATAAATTAGTTTCTAAATAATCGTTTGTTTGCAGATTTGGAGAGAATAAGTCTCGGAAAAGGTATGTGGAAGTAATTAGTTGGGATCACAGCCTAAAGAAGAGATTTTAGAAATAAAGGATCGACATTATTGAGATAGATTTTTGGAACGCAATATCTTTTATTTAATTTTTGATTTTCATAATCCAATTGCGGAAGAAGTTAAGGAAACAGAAAATATTTGGTAATTTAAGAATAAATGTCGGTTTTTTTTCCTTATTAAAGTTATCTAGATATGGTATCTAGGAGTAATTAGTTAAGATGTTGTAAAGATTCGAAATCATAATTGTAGTCATTAATATCGGCGATTTTCTTTTATTACAACATTCCTAAAATTCTTTATCCAAGATCCGGATAGAGTTAAACTCGGGTAAAACCCGGATCCAAATGAATTAATGCAAAAAAAAACCTGTAAAAATGTATATGTAGATAGATTTTAGGAGTTGAACTAAAAATTTTGGGTTAGAGGATCAAAAGCAAGTAAGAGAAAGAGTTAATGAGATGTTAGTTAGCCTTGGTAACAAAAGCAAGCAATGACAGTACAAATAAGAACTAATCCTCAATGAACCTGCTAATCTAGCTAGCCATAATGCCAGCAGAGGTTTGGCTTTGAGTGATAAGGTTTTCTCCAAGGGATAGGCCTGCCCGAAGCCAATCTGTACTTCCAAGATCTCCTGAACCGTTTGGAGGCTCTTGTACTAAGAAAACATTGCAATATCCTCTCGATCTCAGTAAGCGAATAGTCCTGATGAAGTCCATTTGTCCTGAGACGTCACCCATGATTAGCACAAAATTTAATGCTTGTTGACGGTTAATAACTATTTCGCCACATACACTAAAACGATCTGACGTCTCTCATCTTCATCTCCTGAAAGCGTATATAAACACAGATCAAGATACATACGTACAATAATAGTAAAAGAGAAAGGAGTATTAGAGAGTTTTAAGGAATTCACCTAAGTTAAGTCGGAAAGTGAATCCTTCATACGGACCATTCATTCTATTCTTGCTATCGCCATAAGCACACAAGGATATCTCATTACTACTACCAAGTTCCCGAAGGGCCTTGCAAACTTCCAACGAAAGATCATAAGCGTCGATATCATCAGGAAGCCGGTAATCATGGATGTCCCAAAACCAGGCCCGACCCTGTACCCATTTTTTTTATACATTTGTATGGGGCCACACAAAAATAAAGGCCCATTTTTTGTTTTTTTCATATTTAATAAGAACAACAAGTGAAAATAAAGGCCTATTTAGTTAGATGCAAGTCTGTTAAAGGCCCCAATTTCCGAAAAATGCCTCAATTTCCAAAAAATGGCCCCAATTTTCATTAAAAAAAATTATTTTTGACATTATTTGTGGTATTATATTATATATAGAGGCCTCAATTTTTTTATATCGTATTGGGCCAAGTATATTACAGGACCGGGCCTGCCCAAAACACTAAAGTCTCTGCCCCTGACAAAACGGAAAACCCATAAGCAATTACGACAAAACAATGAGCATGAGCAAAAAAACGACCGAATTCATTTCACTAAAAATCTATCTATCAATTGTTACTAAGACAGATCGATAAAAAAAATACTGAATAAGATTCATTAGGGTTTCAATCAAAGAAATAATCGACAGGTCCATTTAAATTCCTAGGGTTAAAAAAAAAGAGTAAAAGGTAACAACAGATACGATTACAAATCGAAGACGACAATAATAAACGACTCAAAACACGTAAAATACAAATAATAAACAATAATAAAGGAAGAGAAAGAAAGTTATCTTACAAAGCAATTCTATGTTGGCCATGGTGTTTTGAAGGATTGATCGAGGAAATTAGAGTGAAAAGTTGAACCTTTATACAGTAAGGCCCAGCCCATAACAACATGCCATTGTCCTAGTATCACATCAATTGAGCATATTTTCTGATTAGATATTTAAAAAAAAAAAAGGGAAAGGCATTGCTAAGAAAACTAAAAAAAAAACAAACCAAAAAAAAATTACAACTTAAAAATTAAAGAGACTTTCTTATGCTAAACAAAATATTGGAAAAACTCTCACCAGCTTAGGCTTATTAGCAGAGAAGGCCAGAAGCAACTTTATAATTAAAGAATGACATGTTAATTACGGCCGAGTCAAGAGTTTCAAAAACCAACCAGAGAACAGTTAATGGTAGGTATCTTTATGCTTAGCATGACAACAAAAGGAAGCAAACAATACTCAATGAGATCTTTGACTGAGCCGAGCCGCCCTTGGCCAAGAAAGGACAACCCAAACTAATGCTGCTGCTGCTCCAGCTCCAGCAAGGAAGAACCTGATATTGTTTTTCACATTGTTTTGTTTTTCCTTTACTAAAATTTGTCTTGGTATTCTTAAAAGAGTCATGAAACATTACAAATTTACAATTGTGATATGACAACTTGGAATCGCATGGATAACAAATAGTCAAAATGGTCGTCATCTTGCTCACTCTAATGGGCCTTATCATATAAATGGGCCGGGCCTTATTTAAAGAGTTTTCCAATTGCCACGCGTCTGATGCAGCGTCGTCATCAAGAGGTCCTTTTTGTTTTTATCATTCAGCTTGCTCGCAACGAAACATATTTTACTGGAAAAAAACGGAAATCGCCATGGAAGACGTTAACCAGTTGTTCGATGCTGCTTTCGAGTTCGCACACTATCCCGGTAAACTAAGCTACGCATTCATACCAAATTTTGCGATTGTTCTAATTCCGTCGTGATTGAAATCCGAATACCTTTTTGATCTCAGGCGCTCAAAACGAAGCCTCGGTCAAGGAATTTCTAGATCGCTTTCCTCTTCCCGTTATCTTCAAGTGATTTTTTTCCTCCAACTTTGTATTTCATTGCGTTTCCTCTTTGAATCTGCTCTTGTGGTTTTTCCAGGGTTTAAGTAGTTTTTGGGTTTCATTGGACTTGTTATGAGTTCTGGGAGCTTTTTAGAGTTATTAACTGGGAAATCGAAATATTCTCGTGCAGTGCTTTGCAAACCGATCCGGATATACCAGGCTTTGAAAACACGCTGGTGACTTGCTTAGAGAGGCTGTTTAAGACTAAGTATGGTGCCTCACTTATTCCTCAGTATATGGTATGACTCACTGATTTCTATTTATAGAATTGTATTTAGTTATCAGGATGAAAATATGTTTGAGCCTATTGCTATATTTGGAGTCTGATTTACTTTTCTGGTGTTTGTTTAGCCCGTTCTGCAAGTTGGTCTCAAGGCAGATTCTGCAATAGTTAAATCTCTGGCTTGCAAAACTGTAAGTGTCTATAAAAGTATTGGTTTATGTTTTCTCAGTGTTTGCCTGGTTTCAAGTGTTTGCTAATGTTGGAGTTTCGTTTCGGTTTTTCTTTAGGTCCTTTGTCTCTTGGAGAATTGCGATACAAATGATGTTTCTCCTGTTCAGCTAGTTGTTAGCAATTGCATATACCCTCTTCTGCTTGATTATATCATTAACAGGTGAGAAGCCATGTTTTAATAGTTTTAGATTCTGTTCTTACAGTTGTGTTCATTTGTGTAAGATTACTCTAGTTTAACAATCTAGGGACCAACTGGAAACAACTAGTTGAAGATATTTTGTAGCATAACGATTACTGTTGAGAAAGCCTTTGGATTGGTCTTGCGGGATTCAAATATGGCTTTAGTATCTCCAAATAGTTGCTTTGCCTCAAAATTCACCATTGACATGTTTTTTGTTTGTTTCTGTAGCGATGATGAAGTGGCACATGCTGCAAGTGAGACAATTAAGAGTCTAGCACGCTTCCCTGATGCAATGGTCTTTGTTTAAAGTTTAACCTGTTATTTTGGCTCAGTGGCTAGTTCTTTTACCCCATCTATTCCTGATGCATAAAACTCAAACCTCTTTTTTCAGTCTGTAATTTTCCCTTCTGAAACCAACGATGCTACACATCTTCGTAACCTTGCTGCAAGGTGTTCGTCACTGGTAATGCATCGCTTTATAAAACTTATTTACCATGATATTCCATTTCTTGTTTTCGCTTTACAATTTTCCAACTGTTTTTCAGGCACGAGTCCGGGTTTTGTCTTTGATAGTGAAGCTTTTTTCGATTTCTCGACTTGTAGCTTCAGAAATTAAGAAATCAGGGCTTCTTGATTTACTGGAGGCAGAAATGAAGGGTACAAAAGACACTCTTGTGATCTTAAATGTTCTGGAACTCTACTATGAGGTTGGCCTCTGATGTCTGAGATTATTATTCAGTCTGTTTCCTTTGTTGCCCACTTTTGAAAGGAAAAGATAGAATTATATTTAATATTTGTGCATAAACGCTGAAGTTAATGGAAGTGGAGCACAGTTCGGAGTTCGTGCCACAAACTTCACTTATTCAGCTGTTGTGTTCTATCATCAGGTACAAAACTGTTAAACCTTACCCATGTTTACAACAAAAATAGTATGGATACCTATTAACTATTAAGCTTGCATCAGCTCACCCTTCTTTTTTTTTTTTTCTGTGGGTCTTATATTTTGTATAGTGGTACATCGACGGGACCCTATGAAAAGTTAAGAGCAATGATGATTAGTGGCAGGCTACTCTCAAAGGAAAATATCTACAAAGTCGTGGAAGAAGCTAGTAAGATTTTCATTGTTTTTAGCCTTTATTGGTTAGAAAAATGAGATTATTTTGTTTTCTTTCTATATGCTTTCACAACAAGGAGTTTTTAGGGACTATGATATGTTAGGACCAGAAGAGTTATGCGGTTGTTCCCTGTCTCAAATATTCTAGGTTACTTTTGCTCCTATTATCAGATAATGAAAGCCTCTGTTTGCTGTGCCTATGAAACAAGTGAAGAAGTTGACAAGTTAACTACAAATTGCTTTGTGGCTTTAATCTAAGGAAGAGAATATAGCTTTATGAGTAATAGACTTATATTTTAAGGCTGTACTGTAGCTGGCAAAAATTCACTTTCAACTTGACCTGAATACAGGTGTGAAGGCGTTAATTTCAGCTACTGATGGGAGTCTGGAGTCGGTGGAGATGAATGATACTGATGCACAGGAAGCTGCCATTGATGCAATTGGTCAGATTGGATCAAGTACGTGGCTCACTTTTCTTTGAAACTCTGTTTGTTCCAGTCTTCTTCTAAAATAGAAAGCTAGATAGGTCATACATTTGGAATTATGAATTATAAGAGCGACCGACAAGATATTTGTTTCCCATGCAATGATCTTGCAACTTATATGGATATTTTTACAATAATTTTCAGCAACAAAGGGAGCGGATCTGGTGCTTTCAACTTCACTTCCAGCTGCAAGACATGTTGTAGCTTCTGCCTTTGATCGTAATGCACATGGAAAACAGTTGGTTAGTGTGTTTTTGTTTCTCGTCAATTTAAAATCTGCCGATTATTTGCTCTTAGGACATTTTTGAATATCCATTTTTTGAGGGTTGAAATTTTGCTTCATTAGCAAAGACATTCATGAATTTATATGACTGTTTCGTAAATGGCATGTGCAGGCTGCACTGCACGCACTGGCAAACATCGCAGGTGAAACACGACCTAAGAGCAACAGAATAGTTGATGGAAAAGCTGAAGAAAGCCTTAGATGTCTGATATACGATGTTGCAGCACAGAGCACAAAACTAACCCCATCTGTATGTTCATTTCCTCTTTTACTTATATTTCCTCTCAGTACTGTTCAGACGACATATGTTTGTTTGATCCGTAGCATGAGCTAATTTAAGAATGTCGCACAAATCGCAGGGTTTATTCCTCTCAGTTCTTCAACAAAGCTCAGAGATTCGTCTTGCGGTAAAGCTTTAACCTTAGCATCTAACCAATCATATCTTCTCCCCTTTTGTTTCTCTAGTTAGAAAATTTCAAAATGCCAACACTACATTTCATTTAAAATGAAAACCTCTCATTTGTCCTTCTACACAAAATTTGGATAAATGTTGCTCATTTTATCTTGCATAAGACCTTCACGCATTGCCTAGAGGGAACTATTTTTGTTTTGCTAATACTATGTTGTTTACAGGGTTATAGAACGTTAACAGCATTGGTGGCTCGGCCATGGTGCCTGGTGGAAATCTTGTCCAAAGAAGAGATAATAAACATAGTTACGGATGCAACCACTGAAACTGCAAAAATAGGTAAACCAAGTAACACTCCTCGCATCACACACACTCCAGCCATTGTATTGGTTTATTTCTTCCTAAACCTCTTTGATCTATGAGTTTAAATCTCACATTTGTCTACTCAGCAATGGAAGCAAGGTATAACTGCTGCAAAGCAATTCACGAAGCGTTCTTATGTAGTAACTTTGTTGATGACCCTCGTCGTCAAAAAACGGGTGAAAAGGTTACATTGTTTTTTCCTCTGCCCTCTTATAATAAGATGAAATAGCTTTCTATGATGCTATACTTTTGCTTGCTGATGATATGTTTGAAATTTGTTGCAGTTGCAAGAAGCTGTTCGAAGTGGACCATATATGTCGAAGAAGCACAGAGGTGCACGACCAGAAGTAATGACAGGCGAAGGATTTTAAAGACATAACTAAAGAAAAACGTTTAAACTTCTTTGTTGACCAAAGTTTTTTTTATCTTCTCTGGCTGTTCGATAAGTAAACTTTTGTTCCTTCTAAACGAGGGCTAGGACTAAACGTTTTGGCGGTTGAAATTTGTGTTCTTTACTTTAGTGTTGAACCTTAGTTAATCAAAGAAAAATGGAATTATGAGTTGGTCCGTTTCTAATCACAGTGGCTAAATTGGAGTTAAGTCAATAAACCAAGGGTAATATGGTAATTACGTTTCCAGACATCATCTCTTTCTTTATGGATAACACTGGTTCGAAATGGAGCCATTACTCTTAGTAAGAGAGGGAGAAATAGCAGAGAATAGAGAAGAGAAGCTTGTAGAAATCAATGGCGACGATAGTGCAGTGTCTTTCTTCCTGTGCGACCCTCGAATCCCAATTCAAAGTCCTTTCTCTTAAGGGAATCTCATCATCTTCTTCCTTCTCCAATCGTCGTGGTGGTGCTTCGGCTACTTTATCCTCTTCCCTTAGCTTCTCTCAGAGCGTTTCTCAATGCGTCGCCTTCTCCTCCGGTAAACCCTACTTCAGAATCGTGAATTCTATCCTGGTCATGGAAAAATAGTGAAAAGTTATATGCATTTTGAATTCGTCGTTTTCTTATGTTTTTGGGTTTTTGGAACTGAAATATACATGTTTCGACAGGGAATTTGTGGGTACAGAAGCCAACGAGGCAATTGATTGTTTGTGAGGCTGCTGCACCAACGAAGAAAGCTGATTCAGCTGCAAAGAGAGCTCGCCAAGCCGAGAAGAGGCGTATTTATAACAAATCTAAGAAATCTGAAGCCCGTACACGGATGAAGAAGGTAACGTTCTAAACCTTATGCTCTTTCTGTGAAAATACGCTGGAGTGCTTCTGAAAATTTGAGCATCTGTTTGAAGATAGGATACAGGATTGTTCATAAGCTTGTAGTGATGTTCCTGTGAAGTTTTAGTGACAAGTTAGGTGGAAACAGTATTAGGGAATTCTTGTGAACAATACTGAACATAGGAATCCAATTCATTGAGTGACTAGTAGATGGGTTAGTCATGTGTTTGAAACCGATTTTGTGGCAAAAGTGAACTCATGTGGAAGCTGTTGAGACGGTTTTATGTTGCTTATTAGAACTTGTGCAAGTTTGAAAAGTTTTGACAGTGTACAACATCTCATTATCCTCATTGTCCAATTGTGATATATATACTAACAGGTCTTGGAAGCACTTGAGGGGCTCAAGAAGAAAACTGATGCGCAGCCTGATGAGATTGTGACTGTGGAGAAACTAATAGGAGAGGCATATTCTGCAATAGACAAAGCAGTAAAGGTTAAAGCGCTACACAAGAACACTGGTGCACGTAGAAAGTCTCGGTTGGCTAGGAGGAAAAAAGCCGTTGAGATTCACCACGGTTGGTACGTCCCAGATGCAGTAGCATCAGAAGCTGTGACCATGGCTGCATAAGAACATGGAGCGGGATAACGGAAATTTGTTTTTGTTACTAGATCTTTCAAAATCAAAATCTGTTTCTTTATAATGTACATTTAGTCGCTTTCAGACTCTTCGCTTGTTAAGTTTGATCTAAGCATTTTGTCTTCTACTCTTGGCTTGGTCTTGTTCTGGTTCAATAACATCTCAGTTCTTGGCTCTGGCACCATTCCTTTAGACATCATCTCTTGAAAGTAACTCAATGCTTCTCCAATTTTCCCCTTTGTGTGCAGACCATGAATTCTAATAGTATATGTTCTCTGATCTGGACCTAATCCACTTCTCTCCATCTCACCCCATATCTCTCTCACTTTCTCTTCATTGTCCCATTGCACATATAACCTAAACATCAAATTGTACAAGTCGCTTGTCATTTCACACTTGTTCTTCGCCATCCTTTCCAGAACTGCGTCAACATCCTTCGATCTCTGCGAATACTTAAGCAAGTAACCGAATGTCACATCGTTAGGCGAACAACTACCACCTTTATGTTCCATCTCTTCCACCAGCTCCCAAACTTTCTCAGTTCTCCTTATCTTGCAAAGATGCTTTAAAAGCGAGTTGTACGTCACAACATTCGGGGAGGGACCTTTCTCGCTCATCTCCTTGAATACTTCAAGAGCCTCTGGGATTCTCTTCTTAAAACACAATGCATCAATAACGTTATTGCAGATTTTAACATCCGGATTTCTTCCGGTTTCCCACAATGCTCTGTATAATTCCATAGCCTTTCCCAACTTCCCCTTCTTCGTCAATGCATTTATCATTGTCCCGTAGCTGACAACATCTGGCTTGCATTTAGAAGCAATTATATCTTTCCAAATCCTCTTGGCTTCATGAACATTTCCCAAAACACACCAACCGTTGAGAATTATGTTCATCGTTCTAATATCGCAGCCAAACTCTCTTCTACGAGAGCAGAACAAAGTTTCCGCAAATTCGACATGCTTATACCTACACAACCACATCAAAAGCCCATGAAATGCAACCAAATCATCCTCTATCCCAAACTCTCTCCTCCTCTCAAACACTCCTACTGCTTCATCAACTTTGTGTGCAGCAGCGTATCGGTTTAACAAAACTTCATACGTCTTCTCGTCAACAAATCCATCTCTCTTAGACATTTCGTCGACCACTTGGTGGAACTCTTCAAAGCGCCGCATTTTCCCAAGAACATCGAGAATCTCGTTGTAAACCAAGGAGCTAGATATATAAACAGAATGTTTAACGATCAATCGAGAAAGTATATAAGCTGGTTTCCAATCAGATCGATTCCGATTAACCACTTCAAAAACCAGCTCTTCGGTTAATTGTATCCCGCACTTATCGAGAATCCGCTCAATCTCTTCAGGTGAACTTCCACGGTGATGCTTTATGATGTTATGAACATCAACAGCAGATTGATTGAATCCATTAGGAAATTTGTCGGGAGCTGCAAGAGAATGAAGAAAGTGTGTAGCTTGATTAATACCCAGCAAGTGAAACCTGGAGAGAGTGATGTTGTTCTTATGATTAGGTACACTGCGAAGATCCACCAAGGATGAGGAAGAAGAGATCCGGCGCCGCCATAGAGCATGAAACAAGATTTCAATTTTGTTTTTCCCTCCCATCTTCACAAAACTCTGTAAGATCTTCCTAAGTAAAACGTAACATAGACAAAATTATTGCAATTAATATTTTTTTGGTGATTAAATTATTGCAGTGAAAATATATAATTGCAGTGAATATAATTTTTTAATTTAGTGAGTTTATGATTATAGTATTGCAATTTTCAGTTTTATACAAGTTTTAATAAAAAAAAATACATACTTTTTTCTTGCAAAATAAGTAAACTGGAAAGTGATATGTAAATTTGTTTTAGGACAGCACTATTTATTAGAGATTGTTTTTGACATACGAATGATAATAACAAATTTTAGTACATGATAGTCTCAGACCAAAAATAAAATAAAAAATTCCGAATTTTTTTTATTTCGATTGAAGTGATATTGCTTGGTATCGAAAGTTTTGCTTACAAAATACAAACCTAGTTTGAATTTAGGTTGCATAGAATCAGAAGCGGGTACGTGGAAACGAAGCGTTTGGAAACGTGGAAGCGATTTTTATAGAAATTATAGAAAGTAGGTATGTGTTGGAAGCGTATATAAAAATTAATATATATATATATATACATATATATATAATAAACATTAAACATTATATCATATAAAAAAATTATAATTAACATACAAATCTAATACATAAATTCTAAATATCTCTCTATATTTAAAAATCAAATAGTGTACGTTTACAATAGAGAAAAGTCTAAATATCATTTTTCATTATCATTCTTCATTATCATTTTACTAATAAAATAAAATTGTTTTAATTTTTTTTACCAATAAAAACATCATCAAACTAAAGTTTCTTGAAATTAATTTAATTCAATTAATCATTTCAACATCTCCTTAATAAATGATCCATGCTGCTATCGTTTTTCTAACTATGATATTTTAAAAAATAAAATACAAAATTAGTATGCAAAATTAGTTTTGGTTTTTCTTTTGTTGTATAAAAAAACTATCAAAAATAATTTCATATTTTTTATTTATTTTGTGACATCAAATTTTTAAAATGGAAGCGCAAGCTTCCAAAATAGAATCGTAAGCTTCCAAGGAGCTTCCAAAATGAATTTTTTAGAAGCGTTATGGAAGCGAGATTCCGAAAGCTTCCGAAAGCTTCCGATTCCGACTAAGATTCCGAAGCGGAAAGCGGACCTCCGACGAAGCTTCCGTGCTTCCTAGGTTTGAATACAGCTACAGTACAAAGAGAAGCTAGCTAGTCAGTCTATAATCATGTTTAAGAAATTAAACAGTATCTTCGTAATCCATTGATATGTTACATTTTTAATGAAACGTAAAGATCCCTTATTATATTAATAGAGAAACACTTTATAAAATAAACCTTATCTTGACGTGTTATTAACTAAACTGCCATGCTGACATGTCGTTCTCAGAGTGAATTTTCACCCATTTAAATTTTTACCCAAATTTTATTAGACTATTTACTGATTTTGCTATTAGTCTTAATACATATATATATCATACAAATAACAAAAAAACGAAATTATAAATAAAAAGCAAATAATTAGGCAACTGATATCATATTTATATTTAACAACAAATCACGGGATCTTTGTTTATTTATATTAATAATCTATTTTCAATAATTAAAAAGGAAAAAAATTGAGCTTATCTTATATTAATAAATTTTTATATTTATATTTATCTTTATATACATTTATATAAATCTTCTCTAGCCGATGGGTAAAAAATCATTTTATTTATATATATATATATATATGCTTATATTTAAATGATAAAAGATATACATTTTGTTCAAGAATCTCGAATTCAAAACTACAAAATCTCTAAATCTTTCATAAAATTTTATATCTACTGTACTTAAATAAATAAGATAATCTCTTTTCTATACATGTTACGGATACTTAAAATCCGATTTTTTTGGAGTGGTTCTAACTTTTCGAAGAAAAACATTATAACCACATTTATATATAAACCAAAATCTGGCCACATTATAACCTCTTTTTTTGTCAAACGGTCACATTATAACCATTTCGTAAATAATCCATTCATAATATAAGAATCTTATATTTGGAACACTACAAAATCTTAACTCGGAAACTATCAAATATCATCTTTGCTAAATTTTTGGATTTCTTATACTTAAATAATAATAAAAAAATTATTTTTATACTACAAAATCTCGAAATATTTAAAACATACGGAAAGACATATTGCCATAAATGATAACATTTCGTCAATAATTTTTTATCACGTTGAAGCTTTATTCAAGGTTCAAATATTCCACGGGTAAAACGTATTCTTATATAAATAGTCCCAAGTTTGAATAAAACAAAAAAAATTTATTACATGTTACGTTTTACACAAACGGATCTTGGATCCCGGATAATAATTTTAATCCTAATAATTTTACTTAAATCACTTCATCCCGCACATAGTGCGGGTAGTTATCTAGTAAATGTATTAATTCTGATATCCAGCTGATTTTGTGGCCCAAGAAAACCCAATCCATTATCCAGCCTGAGCATAATATCTGAACTCGAAGAATCGAACCGAACCCGATCTGAAAAACCCGATCCGAATCCGAACCCGAAATTTTAAAATACCTAAACGGATTCTAAACTTCAAACCCCGAAAATCCGAACCCGAACAAGTATCCGAACATATCCGAAATATAAAGACATAGATATAATATATTAGTAATATTTATACTTGTAATAACCTAAGTGTCTAAATTATTCGGATATTAAGATATTTTCGATTGTTTTAGCTACTTTTGGTTAGATTCGGATATAACATATTTAAAATTTATAGATTTTTTTGAGTATTTTCAATACTTTGCATACAAATTTTTTAATATTTGGATACTTCGGATAAACCCGAATCCGAACTCGATATACCCGATCCGAACCCAAAGTTTTAACATACCCGAACGGATCTTAGTTTACCCGAACCCGAAAAACCCGATCTGACTCTAATATCCGAACGTCTAGGCCTAATCCATGGTGTGAAGCCATTTGTAGCTGTCGTAAAAGAATAAACAAATACTAATAATTACAAAGAGCCAATTAACCAAATTAAATGAAATTAACTAATCTAAAAGTAATGTTAATCACACGTCTTGTTCTGCCGTCACAAAGTATGTAATTACCGTCCGTCTTTTAGGAAACAAAGAAACAAAAACAAACGGCGGGCCCACCGCCGTTAGAATCTCTCTCGATTAGCCGACGCGGCCACCATTGTCTCTCTCTCAATCCGTCCTTTCTCCACGCGTCGCGTTGACCACGTGGCACTAAACATCTTTAAAAAACCAATTTTATTGTTTAATAGCGAGTGCGTAGTGGGCCTATCTTTGTTTTTTTTTTTTTTTTTTTTTTTTGGCGGAGGGGCGGCTATATAGCCTTTTGTTTTATTTCCACGAAAGAAAAAGGAAATAAAAAAGCAGTCAAACTCAAAGTTGAATTGGAGCTGAGTCTAAGAAGTCACGCATAACGATCTTTCTTCACGCGATCGCCGTCGGCACGTGTTTTACGGTGAGATTCACGCGCCTACATGGAAACGCGGTTCCTAAGCCGCGCGTCCTCAAGGTTTTGCCACGTCTTTGACATTTTTGCGTCTTCCAATATCGTTTGTTTGGTTTCTTCTTCTCCACTCCTTTTTAGGCGCCGCTGCTAATTTATTTCCTAGTTTTTGAATTTACTCTTCTTCTCTTTAAGTCTCATATTATAATGCCATATCCGAGTGTGTGTGTTTTTTTTTTTGGTGTGTCTTTACCAGTAGTTTGAATTTCTTTCACATAGAATCTTTAGTTTTTAGTTGCTCTTACGTAAATTTTAGTAATATTTTTTAAAGGGAACAAACATTTAAGATAACTATGCATTTTAATCACTCACAGGTTTATTCAAGTTTTTTTTTTCTCAATTCTGCAGCAGTAAGGTTGATCCAACGTATTAAGAAGAAACAAAATTGTGTCCAGATAATTACAAGTGTTAATATATTTATGGCAACAAGGTCGTACATGTATTTTGGTTTGGTGATAAAATTAAACTCAATTCAAACAATTTCAGAACTAAGCGTGCAAATTCAAAAGCAACAATAATAAGCTGTATTCACTAAAGGAAGCTTGTGTAGTTATATATCCTAAATCACGAGGGTAAACGGCACATACCAATTCGTAGTTAGATTAACCATATATATTAAATTATGATGTGGGATTACATTCTTTATTCCCTCGTTTAAAAAAAATCGAAATCAAATCAGCATTTAAGGGAATAAGCTGTGTGGGCAAAACAGCAAACTACATGCATCTCCATTAATTGCGTAAAATACTGTAAGGATTTCTTTAATTTTTTGTTACATTGTATCAAATTTTTGTTACATTGTACATACAGATAATAAATAAATATCACTCTTAGATAAAATATTTTACAAAAGAAAAAGTAAAACAAAGACTCTTCTTCCTATATTTTCCACTACGAAATAAATCATTCAAAATACGGATTTATTTTATATGTATCATAGTAAGTTCTAATTTTAACCTTATTTCATCAAGAACTTTAATGCAAAGATTATATAGTTTGATTACTTTTCTAATTGCCAAATATTCATCAATTAAATAAAAAGATACAGTGATAAAAAGTTTTATTTTAAAAAGTATAAAGTCAATCAAATTAATGTATTTAATTTTGTATCTAAATCTATATCTATATTTTTGACAATGTATTTAACTGTTCAAATCCTTGTTTTAAAAATCGCTAGGCGCTAGTCGGGCGCTCGGCATGGGCCTAGCGATTAATCGGAAAATCGGATTAAAATCGGGGATTAATCGGGGATTAGTTTTAGGGTTATTTTAATATTTTTAAAATATATTAATCCAATATTGTAAAAATTTATGATTTTTATTACAAATTTATGATTTTTATTAAAATTTGAACACAAGTTATTGTAAAACATCACAAACTCTCCATTCAAATGATTGAATAACAAAAATAAAAAGTTTTTTTATACTTGCAATCTAAAAAATAATCGGGGTATATAAGATTAGGCGGAAAGTAATCGGATTAGGCGGAGAATAATCGGGTTACTGATTTTTTAGGGGATTAGTCATTAATCGAGGCGGATAGGGTGGGCCTAGCGATTAAGCGGGGAGTAATCGGGGCTAGGCGGGGATTTTTAGAACAGGGGTTCAAATACATCAATAAATCATTAAAATGATCAACAAAAATTGAAAACGCTTGGTGAGGTAAAAAAAGAAATGAAGGGTTGAAAAGAAAAACAAAATTCTTTGAAAGAGGAAAAAAAACACGTGGCAACAGATAAGTGGAGGTAAAAAAGAAAACCATGAAAACCGCTGGTGTTTTTTAAGAGAAGCCGCTAAAACCATTTCAGGCTTTGACTGTTCACAACAAAGCGCCCCAAAAGGAGCGTCGCTTTTACTCTCTCTCCCATCTATTATATATAAACAACTCTCTTCCTTCCTCTTCTCCCTTCAATTATCTATCACACCACTCTCTCTCTATCTCTCCAAATATGGCTAAGATGGGCTTGAAACCCGACCCGGCTACTACAAACCCGACCAACAATAATGCCAAGGAGATTCGTTACAGAGGCGTTAGGAAGCGTCCTTGGGGCCGTTATGCCGCCGAGATCCGAGATCCAGGCAAGAAAACCCGCGTCTGGCTTGGTACTTTCGATACGGCTGAAGAGGCGGCGCGTGCTTATGATACGGCGGCGCGTGATTTTCGTGGAGCTAAGGCTAAGACAAATTTCCCGACTTTTCTCGAGCTGAGTGATCAGAAGGTGCCTACCGGTTTCGCGCGTAGCCCTAGCCAGAGCAGCACGCTTGACTGTGCTTCTCCTCCGACGGTGGTTGTGCCATCAGCGACGGCTGGGAATGTTCCGCCGCAGCTCGAGCTTAGCCTCGGGGGAGGCGCGTGTTATCAGATCCCGATGGCGCGTCCTGTCTACTTTTTGGACCTGATGGGAATCGGAAACGTTGGTCGTGGTCAGCCTCCTCCTGTGACATCGGCGTTTAGATCGTCGGTGGTGCATGTTCCGACGAAGATGACTTGTGGGGCCCAGAGCGACTCTGATTCGTCTTCCGTCGTTGATTTCGAAGGTGGAATGGAGAAAAGATCTCAGCCATTCGATCTAGATCTAAACTTGCCTCCCCCGTCGGAACAAGCCTGAGCTTTTAACGGTGTCGTTTCAATTCGATGCGCGTGGGTTTTTTTTATTTGAGCTGAGAGAATTCGTTTTCTCATAGTTTTTTGTTTTCTCTCTCTCAGCCTAAAATTATTATCAGTGTTTAGAAAGAAAAAAAAAACAAATTAAATCTGAGGGAGAAAAATATAATTTTAGCTAACATGGATCGTTATGTACATATTATTTACATAACTGGTGATCTGAACTTTTGTTGTGTGCTTTTTAGTTTTTTGCGACTTGGTTTCACCATGTTGTTTCTCTATTTTTACTTTTTTATCTTTTGTTCTTCCAAATTTTCAATCAATAATTTGGTAATCTTCAATGTTGTGTTGTCTAATGAGTTTTTTTTTTTTTATTACTTTTTTGTTACTAATTGGATATTAATTAAAATCGCAAAAAATAATTGTAAGTTGAAGTATAAGAAAACTAAAATTTAAAGTAACTGAGCAAGATTAATTCAAAAAAAAAAAAAATAGTTGAGTATCGTCGGCTTTTAACAATGGTCCAAGTTTCCAGCAGACACGCAGCCGGCGTGAGTGGGCCCCGGTTATGCTCTCTGCGGCGTAAGTTAGAAAATTTTTTGAGCTTACGTCACTAAGTAGGGTCCACTAACAGAGTACGGACATACTCTTTTCTTCTCTCTTTCTAGCGAACTTGGATGAGTCTTGAAGCTGAGAGTATTAACTATTAACACTAAGGCTATGTACATAGGTGATACTTTTAGAGTATTAACTATTAGAGTATCACAAGTCCAGATATTATTTTTATATTGATAAAACAATTAGAATGGGCATGATTAGTATCAATCCAGTGATACTTTTGATACCAGTATCATCTGACGTTGCATCTCCTAATTGGTCGCGTTTGCTAAAAGTAGGAGAAAAAATAAAAAAAACATTAAATAAACATTATAAATAATACTAAAAAGTTCTTAATGATACTTTATGAGTATCACCCATAACTATAAAGGTCTGACAAACTTTAAGGTCTGACAGATAGAACCTAGATTTTTCATTGATAGATTCTTCCAATTGGGAAAGAAATTGCCCAGGAAGAAAAGAGTTTATATCTTAAAACAAGAATCTACTTCATCCGTTTCGTTTTAGTTGTCGTTTAAGGTTTTCTCACACAAATTAAGAAAAACATTAAATTTTCTGTTTTATCCTTTATTAACATATTTTATTAAAAAATAGAAAAATTATTGCCAGCTACACGAATTATACGCCAACACATCACCACACATGCAGACTATTTTAATGTTTCTCTAACTACACGAACTATTGGTATTACATACGGACATCCCCGAACTATCATCGGTTATGTGTGCAACACCATAACCATCATTTCCAAATAATATAAATGTCTTGTTAACTACACGAAGTATTTTTTTTTTTTTTGTCAACTACACGAAGTATTTTCATCAATTTTTTTTAAAACTAATAAGTTAAATAAAACTATATAATATATCAATGTAAATTATATATATACATTATAACTATTCTAACTTTAAAATTTAATTGTAATAAAGACTAAACTAGTTCCATAAAAAATATATGTGTTCATTAAAAATTTGTTAATTAACTTAAACCTATAATGAACATGTATAATTTAATTAAGTGACACTTTTAAAAATTTAGTTAAATTAATTTCATATAAAACATATGTGTGCATTAAAAATTAGTTAATTAATTTAACTTAAAATTATAAGGGATACTGCATATGTAGAATTTAAACTTTAAAAGTTATAATGCATATATATAATTAACAATAGTGTATTATTAACTTTTAGTTATTTTTTCATTTTGTAATTTAGTTTTTAAAAAAATGATGGAAATATTTCGTGTAGTTAACAATACATTTATATTATCTGGAAATGATAGTTATGGTATATATAATTTACATTGATATATTATATAATTTTATTTAACTTATAGTGATGTATAATTTAACTAAGTGACTATTTTAAATTTTTAACAATTTAATCTAATAAATATTAAATTAGTTAAATTAATTTAACTTAAAAGTATAATGCATTAAAAGTTATAATATATATATATAATTTATAATAGTATAATATTTATTTTTTAGTTATTTTTTATTTTTTAATTACTTTTTAAAAAAAAAATGTGATGGAAAATACTTCGTGTAGTTGACAAAAAAAAGAAATACTTCGTGTAGTTAACAAGACATTTATATTATCTGAAAATGATGGTTATGGGGTTGCACACATAACCGATGATAGTTCGGGGATGTCCGTATGTAATACCAATAGTTCGTGTAGTTAAGGGGACATTAAAATAGTCTGCATGTGTGGTGATGTGTTGGCGTATAATTCGTATAGCTTGCAATGATTTTTCCTTAAAAAATTTATTGGCTGAAACATTAAAACTGTAGGGATAAAACTGGAATTTTCACCAAACATCTGCATCGAAAACCTAAAACGACAACTATTATGAAAACAAGATTTTAACTCTAAAACGACAAGTAAAACGAAACGGAGAGAGTAGTTGTGTACACAAATTTGTTGTCGGCAAAAAAAAAAAAAAAGAAAAAGAGAAGTAAACAAAGTCTCTGAAGAAACAACTAGGACTAGTCTAGATATTGGTTTTTATCTGGAAGCTTTATAGGATATCTTGTTTATAATGAAAATTAATTTCTTTAAACTATGACGTTGAATTGATTCGGAGTTGAATTGGACTAAAACAACAGCATTTGACCCGTTAAGCTAATAGTGCTATTTATAGAGAGATATTCTTTTGGCCAATAATTTCTAGCTGATTTTTAGGAATTTACTTTTCTTCGTTTAAATTTGTGCGGAAAGTAAATTGAACTTGCGAAAGAATGATGGCGTGAGTGTTGAAAACCTAAATATAAAAAAGAGTTTGAATGAAAAACGACGACGTATAAGAAGAAGGTGTGAGATAAAAAGCGGCTTCATAATGAGAGGCAGAGAGGAGAGGTTTGATTGGATTCTTGTCTCCAACTCCGCAATCAAAAAGACTCAATAACTATCCTTTCGTGATTCTCGTGTAGATCTAACGGCTAGATTCTGTTATTGTCCACGTGGCCGGATCCTAGAATTTCATGGTTATTAATTACCCAAAAAAAGAAAGAGTGAGGCGGCACCGACGGCCAAGCTGCGCGAGTCATCATCCTTTTCAGAAGAGACCGAATCAGAGACGGTGGCACCCACATTTCTTTTTCTTTTTATATAACTAATACTCCTTTCGTTTCAAAATATAAGACGTTTTTTTTATCGTCTAGATTTATTATTAATTGCAAATTATGAGAACTGTTACATAGATGATTCTACAACTGACAATTCCTTCCGACCCTTACTAGATTCACGACAGACTACACTTCCTTCTTCGTAATCTTGATGAATACCTTCAATGATCCACGACCTGGCGACACTTCCTTCTCTGCGTAGAATCCTGGCGAACGACTATAATTGTATATCGCTGGAGATCTCTTGCACACTTGCCTCCATTAATCTGTAAATTTGTTAATAAATCGCAATACCTGGGACTCGAACCCCAAACTTTTTGGTGTAGAAGCATTAATCAACCTTTGGTCAACCAATGGGCCAAGGGGGCTTCCACAAATATAAGGCGTTTTGTAAAAACTTTTTTGTTTCAAAATATAAATCGTTTTTAAGTTTCTATGTAAATTATATATTATTTTAATATTTTATGATTATTTTTATTATGCAATCTTTTTATGATTGACTGAACTTTTAAAAAGTAGATCTTCTTAATCGGCGTGCTTTTAGCTAAAACGGAGAGAGTATATTTATGAGAAAAGTTATTATCCTCTCGAAGAGTAACTAATGTTTACAAACTTATTTCCAGAAATAACTAATGTTTTATCATATTCAATTGAATGTTTTAAAATTAATTGATACTCTCTCCGTTTTAGAATAGTTGTCGTTTTAGAGAAATTTTTTTGTTTTTAATTAGTTGTCGTTTTCAGTTTTCGATGCAAAATTTTTTACTTTTTTATTTTTTATATTTATTTTTATTATGCAACTTTATTTACTATTGGTTAAATTATGTTTAGATAGATAATTAATGATATTTTTATATTGAAAAACTAACAACATTAATAGTTTCTTAATTTGTGTGCATATAGTTAAAACGATAACTATTTGAAAACGGAAGAAGTATATTCTAATACTTTTAAGAAAAGTATAGATATGATTGTTTTATTATACATCTAATTAACTTTTAATATTTGTTTCATCGTTTTTACAAAACTATAATAAGATTTTTTTATTTTATTTTTTTTGTCAACAACTAATATATTAACTTGTTTTTTTTTCCTTCACAATTTAATATTGAGAGGTTGCCTTAAATGTATCACCAGTTCAAAATCCGGTTCGATCCATCTGTTAACGTATTTCTTAAGTGAAAACCGTAAATTGGACAGTAGATGCGTGTAGTAGAGCAAATGGCGCGTGTGAAAGTGGCATGGGATGTAAATTCCGTGTTGACGAGGTTTATGTCGGGATATTGGGTTGTCTTCACGTGCATCTCCACCGTCCGATAAAGTTTGATTCTCACTGTCTTTTTTTGTCATTTATTATTTTATTTATTTATTACTAGCCTCATTTGTTTACGCGAAGGACTCCGTAAATTGAGGTAATTTCATTTTGGTCCCTCATCTCATTATCTTGCTCCCCCAAAAACCCCACCTCCCACAATTTTTTTCAATACCAGAAACGTTACAATCAGATTAGTTTCCAGATTAAAAAATACCGGAAAGTTGGAATTAAAAATAAAAAAGAATAAGAAATAGGCACACCAATTATACACATGGATGATGGGTCATGTATATAGAATTAATAAAAATATAAAATACAGGTTAGTTGCAGATATGGATATCAGGATCACATCTTAATTAAAAAATATATTAGCCTTATAATATTCGAGTGGGAATAATAATAATTCATTTAAATCTTTTAACCAAAAATAATAATAATTCATTTCACTAGGAGACACGTGTGAAACAAGATTAGCTGCGGCGGCCGCTTTTCCTTGGTGGAACCCACACGCTCATATTAAGGTCATCCAGAATCTCAATCCCAACCAACCAGATTTTTTCCCTCTCTTTTCTTCTCACCCGATTCGAAGTCGGCCACATATTTTATCTTTATTGCTTATTTATCCCATTTCTTTCGATCTTAGACATCTAGAACCCCGTCATTTATTAATCTCAAGTTCTCAACAAAAGTATCTCAATCATCCATTTATGCATTAAAAGCTCACAGAAAATTAACTACATTTCCATTACGCACCGCTTCAAAATTAGTTTCAAAAGTAACATCATTCACCGGCATTTCATTAATTGGAGAAGAAGATTTTGTTTTCTTAAGAGTAAATTTAATACTCGAGTATAACACAAACAAATTCAATAAGATGTTCTTTTCATTAGATCAAGTTTTAAATCTAATTTTCTTTTAACTATAAATAATTAGTACTAGTAACATTTATCAAAGCAAAAAAAAAAAAAAAAAGCATTTATCAAAGGATCCTATCCATACCAGAGCTTCATAAAGTTTTGCACCATAAAAATTTAATTCCTGAAAAAGGTTGGGGTTCGCATGAAAAAGAATGGGAATAATAGGGGAGTATATTTTGTAATAAAGTTTCAACCAATGTGAAGCAGCCACGCAGGTGGCTTCACCTGGACACATGTTACCAAATATGGGGACAGGTGGCGCTGTGAAATGTCGTAACGTGACAGACAGTCACTATAGAGAAATAGTTGCGTCGGCTGTGTGACGCTGATATCATTCCCACGTGTGGGCGCGCGTGAAATGGGTCCCTATTGGGCGTGTGCTTTGTGGCGTGGCGCGTGAGACACGTGTTAGACTTCTGCTTATTACAAAACACCTTATTGGAACTCTGCAACCAAACAAGGACCACTTATTTCCATTTTACGTAGTATTTATTAGATTACATACACATTCGTGTCTCTTTTTTTTCGTTTAGGGACAAAAAAAATCTCCATATCATCGTCTGAATAATCTCGAAAGTCACTATCTAGTTATTTTTGATTAAACGTATTTCTCATCCTGATTTGTTACTCACTCGTTATACAAAAAAGGTTATTTGATAATCCTATCCTAGTATTATTTTTAATGGAAAATGTCATTATGGGGTATGGGCGGTAGCCGTTACCGTTAAACTGCCGTTAGCTACGGCATATGAGAGTTGGGTGATGTGTCAGGTCAGTTGAAGTGTCGTCGTCTTTTCCATGAAACTTCGAGAAGACCTTATTGGGTTTCACGTGTCTTTTGACGCCGTCAACTCCTTTTTTTTCCTTTTTTTCCTTTTTTTCGCTATAACTAAAATCATGTAATTAGCCTTTTGAACTTGTTATCGCCGTCCTTCACGCTCCTTGCATTTCACACTCGATTTTGTTTCTTTTTTGTTGGGCAGAACTCGATTTTATTTCTTTATACAGTATATTACGAACAAAAGGTAACAGCCTGATTTACTATTTGATTGCCGACATAAAGAAACTTGAAAAAAAAAAAACATATTCCGACTGTGAGGACTCGAGGCTTTAATAATAATCGATTGATTATGCAAATGCTGTTAGCTTTTTTTTTTTAATCCGATTACAAAATAGTCAAAGATAGTAACATCCTTTTATCAAAAAAAGAAGAGATAGTAACATTATTATATTGTGTCGTTAATTTTCATAATTCCTTCATTTTTAGTGTTATTTTTCTTCCGCTAAAATTTCTTCCAACTGGAAAAATTATATCAATTGTTAGGTAATTTTGTCTAAATTAATGGGCTCAAATAAAGGCCTGATCAAAATTACACTAAAGAGACCCAGAGAATATGCTGGGCAGTTATGGACACTAACATTCTAATTAATTTGAATGGCGTGTTAGTACATTAACTTTAAAATTCGCGATTTGCTTGCTTAGCAAATAGCAAGAGCATGGATTCGTAATTATACATACTATTAATAATCAAAACTGGCGTACCAACCAGGCATGTGACGCATTCCATTAATCCATTAATGAGTAAATCATACTGTGATCTTCTATGTATAAAGACAACAAAACATATTGCCAACAAAAAAAATCGTAACATAACAGAATAAATTGGAATAAGAGAAATAAACTACTTAATAAACAAAATTCAAATCTCCTGCGAGAGAATACATAATGCAAAGCAGAGAGAAACAACCGGTCTCCGCCGCGTCATTATATCCCACCGTAGTTTCACGGGCGAAGATTCTCTTGTCCCTCCTCAAAATCAACCCTTTTGGTAAGCTAACAACGAATGACTTGACCAAAGACTGATAAATTGATGAGAGTAAAGAACACAAAAGTGTTTAGAAAGAATTATAATAGACTCTCGTAAGAATAAAGTTACAACATACATTCTCTTATATAGAGATGAGATTAATCTAAGTTTCCTAATTTAAGATAAATATAAATGTAAATAATACTTTAAAGATAAATATAAATATTCCTAAACTAAGTTATGATAATCTTCTAGATCCTTCTCGATCTTCATGATTTCCATAATCTTGGGCGATCATCTCGATCGTCGATCTCGGTCGATCTCCGGTTCTCCCAATACCCCTCGTCAAGCTCATACGTGGTTACACGTTTGAGATTGGACAAGTCTTTAGAATAACGGCTTTTATACCCGGCCGTCGGGTCATCATCGACGTTTATACCCGATCGAAGGGTTCAAAGCGGCTACAATACCCAGCCGTTAGGTCATCGACGTTTATACCCGATCGTAGGGTTCAAAGCGGCTACAAAACCCAGCCGTTAGGTCATCGACGTTTATACCCGATCGTAGGGTTCAAGTAATAAAAATAACACCCGCGATTGCGAGGTTCGGATGTTGTTCGCGATGGCGAGACTAAAAACAAATAACTCACGAGGGCGAGTAGTTTAATCAAAAGGAGAAGTTAAACTCGCGAGGGCGAGAAAACATCATTGTTCCCGAAACTGATTTTTTTTTTTCTTTGCGGAAGCTAACGTAACGGATCCAAAATCCACAGAAAGGATCTTGGCTCTGATACCATGATAAATTGATGAGAGTAAAGAACACAAAAGTGTTTAGAAAGAATTATAATAGACTCTCGTAAGAATAAAGTTACAACATACATTCTCTTATATAGAGATGAGATTAATCTAAGTTTCCTAATTTAAGATAAATATAAATGTAAATAATACTTTAAAGATAAATATAAATATTCCTAAACTAAGTTATGATAATCTTCTAGATCCTTCTCGATCTTCATGATTTCCATAATCTTGGGCGATCATCTCGATCGTCGATCTCGGTCGATCTCCGGTTCTCCCAATAAAGACAAAACGCATCCGTTTAGCGTTTTCCGCGGCAGAACCGAACTCTACTCGTTCCCGGAATCACAATCAGAGGCAGCGGCAAGAGTTCAAGAAAACGTTAGGCAGTTCAACGGAAACTACATTTTTGTTTTTGTCATCTTCTTCTTACTCTCTCTGTATAAGCAGCCAATACCATTTTTGACGCTGTTAGCGAGTTTTCCGGTTACGGATTATCTTGACAAATTGATTATTAAAACAGGACTTGATCAAGCTTACCCCTTCGTTCGTCGTTTGCTCTTCTTCATCTCTAAACTAGGTTAATAAATAATGTTATATTATATATTTCTTGTGGACACAAGACGAAACATGTATTGACGATCGTTGTTGAAATAATGGGTTTTGCAGGAATAGCTGCTCTTCTCATGCGTACGGAAGTTGTCATTGCTTTTTTCTTTTCTCTTCTTGCTGCTTACTTCGGTAAAATTGTGTAATCTCTTTCTACTCCTCTCTTACGTATATGAATGCTTGGGAATTTAGTTTAGCAAAAAAAAAATGAATGCTTGGGAATTGAAAATCGTTTGGTGTATATGTTTGCAGCTATGATGTTGCACGGAGCGTTAAGGATATTGCATGAATGAGAGGTCGAATCTTCTAAAAGACTTTTGGATTTATGTCTTCGGACATACTTACCAAATATTAAAAGTGTTATATTGTAGTATGATAATTATAGATGTATAGCTATCTATTGAACAAACTCATGTATATATATATGGCTTTTGTTTAGAAAGGATGATAACTAAATCACGAAACAAGAAAGCTATTCATAAAAATAAAAAAATCAAATATAATGTCTTGGAGATTTTACATTTTTGTAACAATACAAAAAAAAGAAAGCCAAACCCTTGGTTATACACAACTATGAATAGAAATTCCTCTTGAAAACTTGGAGCAGGAAAATTGCGAAAAAAAACATTTCAAGAAAAATGAAGGAAAGAAAGAAAAAAAAAAGGAATTTATAAATACATTTTTAAAACAGACTATGCACATAAATTACCAAAAATCAATAGATCAATGAAAATAAAGAAGCACAAACCAATGATTCAATCTCTGTAGGCTGTCTCAGGTGGGAGATTAAAGATCACGTGATGATTGGCCTAGCCATCTGCAGCGAAACATTAAGAAATCCATTTTGAAAATTTAAAATCAAATCTTCAATGAAGACATTGAAGTTTTCAAAAAAATTCAGATTCCAAACTCAAGAAAAATTGTTCCATGTATCAACATTTTCATCAATCGAACAAACCTTGAGAGTAAGAATCTGCCGAGTGGGCTAACGTTTGTGTTGGAACTAAACTCCTTGTTAGCTTGTTTCCTTTTGTTCTCTGCGGCGTCGGGTGTGGTCTTGGCAAAAACACGGACCGCCATATCGTGCAATTCTTTCACCGAAGCTTCTTTTGAACTGTCATGAATTTATGATTAGTGTCCGATTAAGTTAATAATTCACAATAAGATAACCAAACATGTGTTTTTGTATGTGTTCTTTAAAGATCCACGTACCTTCCCAAAAGTTCAATCAGCTTGGCAACAAAAGCTTCACAAGAACCAGGCTTTTCACGTTCCATCATCACTAGGGATCTCGACACTGTACGCCCAATAGATTCTTTTGAATCGTCACCAAGAGCCTACACCATGAACCAGAATACATGATCTTTTTGCTATCCATTGTTTAAAACATTCCCAACACATTTTTTATTTATATGCAAGTAAAAAAATGAGATTGTAGTTATATAGCAGGATTACCTCTTTTAGGGACGGTATGAGCAATATTGACAATGATGCAGGCAATGATTCCCATATGGAGTCATCTTCTTCATCACTCACTTGTTCTGACCTTGGAACTGCTTTTTGTTTACTAGACTTATCGCCGGAATTTCTGCATAAGTTGTAGCTTCGTGTTAGATACAATCATGCTACATTCTCTCACCATGAGAAGCTAGAATCTAGAGTTACCTTGAATAATCAGAATCATCTGCCATTTGGTCCCTTCTCCGGTTAACCTTCCCATCATTATTGTTCTTCCCCATTCCAAGTCTTTCTCTAGCATTTCCCTTTCTGAAACCTGCGTCAAGTGCTGCCTTTGCCTGAAAGAAGAATTAAATTCAAATGTAAGAATCCGATGATAAATCCAAATGACCAGAAGATATCTAAAGCAATGTAAAGAACTAAAGATATATGTAAGAATAAAGGCAATTCAGAGAGACAACCCTTAAAGATAATAAGAAGATTAAAGGGGATAAATAAACCTCCGCGAGATTTGCGTTGCTATCTTCGGAGGCACTTGAAGTTCTCTCTTGAATCCCTAGTCTAGATTTTGGGGTTCGAGGTGATCCAGAGTCATCGTACTGCCCACGAACAATAACAGTTCCACTTGCTGAAGCATCATCAAAAGGTGCATACCTGCCGCTAGACTACAACAGTCGGAATGGAATCATTCATAATACACCAGGCTTATTAAATTTCTGTAGATGATGTTAAAAAGGTGCCACAAATTTCATACCACAGAGCTTTGTTCACGGAATTTTGAAGATGATTGAGAACTTCTTGAGGCTCTTATGACGACAGTTCCCGATCCACTGAGCGATGAATCGTCCTGGATTTAAAAGGACAAGGTACACATATTTTTACCTTGTTCTCATTCTTAAGAATACATATATATATATATATATATATATATAAGGAGTTACAATATAGTAACCATACACGTGAAACTTAACCAAGTTCGCTATAGTAGAAATGATTACCCAAGTAACTTGAAACATACATATCGTGACATGCTTTTAGAAGATAATTTTCTGGTGCAATACTAACAGCAAGAAATAGTGTCAAATAAGACAGACTGCATCTCGCACACAAGAGGCAAATGATCTTACTTCTTCGTGGAAGCCATCTTCGTGGTCATTTTGAAAAGGATGTCTTCTTACAAAACCTCCTTCAGAGGCTTCAGAAATTGTACTACCAGTCGAAGATGACCACTGATTACCACTATCTCTTGTTGTTTGTTGCGAAATCTGATTAGAAGAAACTTCGTGGCGCCTCTCCCTTGCTTGAGGAGGTTTTAAAGCACGAACTGCTCCAATACTCTGTGACCCCTCAACGCTAAAGTCCCATCCAGCATTTTTGACGGTATTCCCCTGAAAACTGTAGCTACGAGTTAATAGAGATTTTATCAAACAAGCAGCAGAAGAAAACCCAAGCGCAGAACATTCATCCAACCTAGATCCAGGAGTGCCTTGGCTTCTTTCATCTTTAGCCACCCTAACAGTACCAGATGAGTCAACTGGAGCTTTGGGACCATTCCTAGGAGTCTCTTCATCTTCTTTTACTTGGTACTTTGGCCGCTCTCTTTAAAGAGGAAAAAAGGACAGAATAACAATCGTGCTTATTCTGGATTTTCTTTTGGCATATAAAAGATCAAAACAAACATACGGGAAAACCATCTAAATGTTACTTTTGACATACAATTGAATCAGGAAAGTCATAATTGAAATCACATGCCAAAGCTATTGAAGAGAAAACGTATCAAACCTTATCCTCTCAAGAAGTTTCGGACTTTTTCTAGCATTCTTAATAAATCTGTGTTTAATAAGTTCTTTGGCACTTGGTCTCTGAAAGTATAAGACTTGAATAAGAAATCTTGAAATGCCACTGCTGCCAGTAAAAAAGCAAAGATTACAAGGATTGCACTGCAAGTACCTCAGCAGGGACCTTCTTCAAGCATAATGAAACAAACTCCTTTACTGGACGGGAAAAATGCTCATCTAACTGCCCAGAAAAGAAAGAATGTTAAATTTTAAAGATTGGCTTCATAATCAAGAAATGGCAGTGATAGAATTCCGCAAAGGCACACTGACAAGCAGCATAACTTTATCATGTTTAAAATGAAAAAATGTGAAACCTGAGGTGGATTTTCTCGAGGAATGATAAAAAGCACTCTCATGGGATGAAGGTCAGCTAGGGGAGGTTCTCCTTTAGCCATCTCAATAACTGTTATTCCAAGCGACCAAATATCTGCCTAAAATGACAACAATCCCAGCAACAGAAACAGAATGCAAAAAATATTAGATAGGCTAAGGAAACAAGTACAGACTCTACAAACACATAAGACATGTCAAGCTAGGAGAGGCGAAGCTCAGTATATAGGCGAGATACCTTCTCGTTATACCCTTCTGAGTTCTGAATCACTTCTGGTGCCATCCAAAATGGGGTTCCTACAAAAGTCTGTCATTCTTTAACATATCAGCGCACGCAACCCAGATGAATGAGTGAAAGTTGTAAACCATCAGCAGAGAATTAAAGATCAGATGTTTTTCAACTTGATAAGATTATCTTTTAGTCATGGCAATCTTTCAGAAAATCGCTTCTAGCATATAAATTATCCCATAGCTGAAACATGCACAAGATTCTACTATATAAGGCTGTAGATAAGCAACTGGAACTGAAGCTGCAGATAGCAACATTACTAGTGCGTTGGACTATTCAAGAGTATCCTAGTCCCTAGGAAATTTAACCAAGTAAAAAATCAATAGACCTCACGATTCAAGCAGCAAAATCTAAACAAAGAGGCCAGAAACTTCATTAGTAGCCCTCCACACATATTGTGGGGACATAAAAGATATATTTCACAACAGAAAATGAACCAATAACAAGAATTATAATCAACAGTGATCATTGGCCTAATAGAGTAAGCACCTTCCTTCTTGATATTGTCCGCGTTAGCTGAGCAGACACACCAAAGTCCGCCACCTGATACAGAGTGAAAATGATGTTCAGGATGAAGCTTGTGCAACTAATACTCGATAAAGAAGATATTGATGATTTTGCTGTCATAATAAAAGTAAAAAAAAAAAAAAAACCTTAACATCGCCATTCTCGGTCAACAAAATATTAGCAGCTGCAAAAAAGGAAGAAAGCGATTTTATGTACGAAGCAGTTAAAACATATTTCATCACATAAAACCCATAAAACAAAATAACCCTATTAACACACAAAAACCTTTGATGTCTCTGTGGATCTTTCCCTCATTATGCAGATATTCAACAGCTAGAAGCAGATCGCGTGTGATACAAGCGATTGATGTTTCATCCAATGGATTACTAGATTGAAGCTGCAAAAGATATATCACTTTTAAGGATTATAAGTTGCGTCAAAGAAAATATAAGTACAGGACAAGATCTCCACAGGGCGTGCATCACCACGCACAAAATTATACTTCCAAATTCCAAGAGTTATGAGCTACAAAGTAGTGAGTTGACATACAAGATCAGCAACAGAGCCACCGGCCATATATTCCATGATGATCCACAACTTGGTCTGATGAAGGTAAGAACCATAGTATTCGGTGATATATGGGCAACGGCATTGTGACAATACTGAAATTTCCTGGGGTAAACAGCAAAAAGTGAGCATGACAATCGCTACACAGAAATATCAAGCACAGAAATTGACGTCAATAAGAGATACCTTCTGAATATCTTCGATCTCATCTTCTCTGCCAGATGTCAAGTAAAAAGATTAGTTAGAAAATTACTGAGCATGATGGTATTCTCAACCAAACATGCTATTAGTATAGTGAAAGCCAATGAAAGGTTACTGTCCTTTATCATTCATAGAATCATAAATGTAGCTACTCAACGTATAAGACAACAAACATTATATCATCCAAAATCATAAGAAGAGAATTGCATAAATGACGAGAAGAAAAAAACAAAATAGAAAATGTACTCACGATTCTTCCAGGTCGATTACTTTAATGGCAACTTCTTTATTGAGGTCCTTATCAAACCTGATAAGCAGCAGCAGTAGTTGTTCAGAATAGAGATAAGATAGACTCAATAGTTATTATTAAACAATCTTTACACAAAAAAATAACAGATATGTGCCAATCATATTTTCGTCTCAATTCCAATATTTTCCAACTGATGTAACTCTTAACTTCTTTCTAGCATGAA